TATATATATATATATATATTTACACTATACCTCATCTGTACAGAATATAATTCACGCTATGCAGTAAATAGCATAAGGTTCTCCACCCCCACAGCCCATCCAAAACTTTTGAAAAGTTGAAATGGCGCAAAGGGAAACAGCAATTTTCATTAATTAATATGGAAAATATTTTGAGCATCCGATTAAAAAAAATCACCTATGAGACCATACCAAATGCCACATAAGACTTAAGATCCCAGTAACAAAGTAAAAGCAGGAACAACAGGATACATACGCAGCCTGTCCTGTCCGGGAAGGAGCTGGGCGGGGCTCGCTTGTCTCGCTGCCTCCTCAAAGCTGCAAAACGTGCGAGCCAGTTTCGCTTTTCGGCTTCTGTCGTAAAAGCGAAAATCCGCTTTGGATTTCTTTGTGTTCCGGAAGACAGGTACTGATGTAGGTTTTCTGGCCAAAGCGTGTGTGGTAGGATGAATTTTTGAAAAGCGGGGGATACCTATAGTATACAATATATTTTAGTGGGGGAGTAAAAATACGGACTTTTGTTATTTCTAAATCACGCTGAACTTCAGTTCCCACTTCAGTGAAATGGAGATAGTAATAGGTCGTAAGGCACAGAACTGCTGAAAGACTAAATTAATGAACACACATAAAAACACTGTCTGGCCAACAGCAAGACTGGACGAGCTTAATGTACTGTCACTGTGTGGCAATGACCCCTCCCTGCATGGGCGCGCTGTAAGAGGTTAGGCTTGGGTTTGCTGTCCATGTCTTCAATGACATCCAGAAGCACGGATGTAGATGTTTGTGGGGATTTTAGAGGAGTCACGGGAACAGAGCCACCATGCTCCCAGGAGGAAATGCCTGGTCCCCCCAAGGCAGGGGTTCAGGGAGAATTTCAGCAGCAGCCGCAGCCACTCCCGCTCTGTGGCCCTAACACCTCACACTTTGTATTTTCCAAAAGCTAGCCAGAGCCTTATTCTCGGAAAAGGAAGCGGGAGGTGTGGGCCTGGAAGTGAGAACACTGCTACCTGACAAGTTGATGACGGTCTGTCCATTTTCAGGACAAACATAAAATACTATTATGTTCCCAAATTCTTACCTTTGAGTCCGGAGCTCCACCTCTTGAGACTGAGTGGCTAGGTGGAAGGGGATGTGTGTGTGGAGTGTGTGTGTGTGGGGGGGGGGGAGATGTGGGGGCAGGTAATAGCGAAGTTTAAAAACAGAATGGGGAGGAGAAGCATGGAAACCAGAGTTCACAGAAAATCTTTAGATCTTTCTCCAGGCCACAAAATAATAATAATAATTCCATTGATCCTGGGGACATCCCCTGAAATTCCTTCCTGAAATTCCTTCCAGCGGAATTTCAAGCCACAGGATTAAAATAAGCAGGTCTGAAAAAAACAGAGCGGAGGGACAACAAGCCCCACATTAGAGTCCCACGAGTTTCAGGACTGCCACACCAGCAGCTTAGAGGGGAAACAGCTCACTCCAGAGTATTGATTTAGCCATAGCAGTGGGAATTCTGCTTGGAAAGAAAAGGTCTGTGTATGGCAAGCCCACTGTGCCAAGACTGGGAAGATGAATAGCAGCAAGGGTGGACGGTGCCGCTGACCACGTTGTTCCTGGGACACAACCCGGGACACTGGCCAGGAGCCCTTTATTGCCTGAGAGTTTTAGAGCGTGAGGGGGAAGCTTTTCAACTCAATTAGCATTTAATAGTCCTGATGCTCAATCACAGGGATCAGCTGTGAAGTTACTGAAGCCATTACCAGGGGCTAGAACAGCAGTTGAGTTTGAAATGTCAGAGCATTTCTCCTGACACTGCCTTTCCACTCCCCACTGTCCCTGGCAGTCAGAGTTCCTGATATTGAGTAACAGTTCACAAGGGCAGGGGAGGGCCCTTCAGTCTTTGGATCAGGCACCTTGAAATACCATGGACTCAACTACAGCTTTGCTCTGTCCCTAGAAAACAAGCCTGCATCTGGGTCAGAAGGGGGTGGGGACATGGACTTCAGGCCCTGGGAGTTCTGAAGCAAGTGTGAGTCCTTTCCCAGAAAGACTCCTCTGACCACCAAGCGCTGAGAGGACAACAGGTCTGTAGTGTAAACAGCCTGGGGAGAGAACCTGGAAAGACTGGACTTGAACATCTCCATAAGTGAAGAGAATGGAAAATGACTAGTTATCTAGTATTTGGCAGGAATGTATCCCCTTGTATTCTGATGATCTGAGCGTAAATTGGTAGGGTCTTGGCTACTTGTTAACTGACACATATTCTTCCTCCTCTGCCTGGCATCTGGGAGGAGCTGTGTGGAAGGTTCCCACTTGAGAGGAGAAGATCATGGGCTCTCACTAGGCTGAGACAAGGAATGTGTGTGCTCTTTCCAAGCAAGTGTCCTTCTTTCCTTTCTTCAAGGTCAGAGGCCCCAGAGCATGGCCCTCAAGACCTGGAGAGGGTAGAGCTATAACAGGGAAGGACTCCTCCTTGGTAGCTACGTAGATCCCCACCTCTAACCCTCAGCAGTCTGGTGAACAAAAAAAAATAAACCTTTAACCCACTGTTACTGAGATTTTTGGTTTGGTCATTACAACAGCTGCCATCAGTTATCCTGAGGGGGGAAATCATTATCAGAACTATAGACAAAAATATTGATCATTGGTACATTTATAAACTACTAAATAATTAAAATTAACCATCCTAAGGTAGGGAATTGATTAAATTATGGTCCACTGGTCCATGATAACTATTAAGACACATGTCTTTAAAATAACAGCTAACAAAATGGAGATATTATATAAAGTTAAGCAAACTTAATTTTTTTCTTCTTACTACAAAGCCTAGCAACCAAAAAGTAACTGTAAAGTAACTCAAGTGTTTTCCTTAGACTCTGAAGGGGTTTTCTAAACCCCAGAAATTTCTATTCACCTTTTTCTTTGAATCACTCTTCTTTACAACAACAGCTACTCGCATACTTTCTCTTAAGGAGTGCTCATGCCAATTCTCTGCTAGTTCACTTACCTCTAGTCCTCCCCCTTCCCCCAGTTCTGTACCCCATACCTAAAAGACAGGTCTACTCTAGCAGGAAAAGAAAGAACAGTCACACATCAGCAACGTTCGCCCATCACACACACTTGTAACAGAAGGAACTTCATTTTTTTTACATCTTTCCAACCTCACAGTCTTATTCAGCTCTACCCCAGGGTCAAAGGGATTTGTCTCCTGTCATTAAAGAAAAATGAAGGTGTTCATCATTGCCAGTTAAAGTTGTAAGGATGTCGTTAATGAATTTCAGGGAAGCAGGAACAGAATGTCTAGTTTCATAAAGGCCTCAAACATGAAAAAGGGTCAAAGTTATATTAAAATGAAGAATCAGAAATGTATCATATAAAGAGTAATAATTTCCATGAAAGTGCGATGATCTTTAGTTTTGATATTATGGAAGAAAATCCGCCTAGGTTGGAATCCCCTACCGGACACCAGCCACCAACCTGTACATCTCCTGTCATTTGCTCCACAACCCACGCACAGACTTTCCCTCTCTTTTATGGGAGGGTTCCTTGGGTCTAGATTATTCCAACTTCTGGAGCAGAGAGAAGTGGAAGAGTTACACACAATTAAGCTGATAGATTAAATATGAAAATGTGAAGAATAAGAAACGGCCTGAGGAAATGGATTATTTGACGGGGAGGTAAATTACATCCTGGAGACAGGAGCATTGAAGGGATTAAAGAAAATGATTATGCAAGGTGAAAGAGTAAGAAAAAGTTAGGAATAGGCATATCAAATGGACTATCACACATCACCACCACACCAAAATTTCTAGGTGACCTGCATTGGTCTCTTAAAGAGTAAGATAGTTTGATCAGGAGTACAAGTTGATCTGAGCCAAGTAGCTGAAGTCTTTAATGAAATATAGCAAAAACTTTCCCTGGATCTTACATACATCCAGATTTAGGAAAATGGCAACCACCTGTTTTGGAGTCATCAACAAATAATGCTACTATCTTTATTTTGGGTACTGTGTGGCAAGCACAATTTTCTGGAAGACAACAGTTGCAACTGAAGAAATCTCCCCTTACTAATTCACAGGAGAGTAACTAGAGGCACACTCTAGGGGCTACTTTATTTCCCTTGAAGGAAATGAACCATCAGAAAGCTCTGTGTGTGAGAGAGAGAGAGAGAAAGAGAGAGAGAGAGAGAGAGAGAGAGAAATTTATACAGTTATCTAGTGGGCTAAAAAAAAAAAAGGCAAACTCAGCAAGGCAACCTGGTGGCACAGGAGTTAAAGTCTCAATGCTACCCAGCCATCACCAACCACTGTGGCATGAGTTCAATCCCTGAGCCACATGGCACAGCAGACCTCTCCTGTCTCACCTGCTGCTCCCCTCAGCAGTGAGTCTCAGTAGATCCTCCTGTTCTGCTCCCTGCTCTGTCTCTGGTGAATCTTCTGACGCCTTCAACCTCTGGCCTGCACTCCAGTTCCTATATGTATAAATAAAACTTTAAAAAGAAATTAAAGCAAACTCACCAAAATACTCATATGTGATAGGATTAAGGATGAAATTTGTTTACTTTTTAATTTCCCAGTATTTTTTAAATTCCCTACAATGAGAATAAGTTATTTAATAAACAGACCAAAAATAAACATCATTTATAAAATAATGACTCTGTAACTTGATTACAAGTAATATCTCCTAAGCAGGTAGCATCCAAGAGAAGTTGGATTTTTTTCCCTCAAATGAAGGGTAGACACTTACCCCAGAGTTAATAATGCCAATGTGAACATGACTTACTTGTGCACACCTCATATCCATGTCCTTTCCTGGAAAGCAGGAAGTTGGATATCACACCAATTTTAGGACCAGTAGCAATGTTTGAAAGTCATTTCATCTCATAGTAAGAGATCCCAACTGGATTCCAGAATTTAATGTGCTCGTAATCAGAGCTTCCTGGAAAAGGAAGTTCCCATCTGTAATAAACACACAAACCCACAGACCTGCATGCCTGCATTCACCACTTATATATTCTTAACTGTCTGAATCTAGAACTTAAGCAGGATTTACGCAACAAACAAAAGCCTTTGGAAGTTCCAGTTATACTATTCATGCTTCCCCTTTTGTTCTCTTCCAACATGGAGTATGTAAGAGGGACATCTTTAGATGGCCCACGCAGAGATCCTGGCTGTGCCAATGGGGTGAATTAGCTGTTTCATTCCATTAGTTGCATGACATTTTTATGAGAGTGCATGTCTTCTCCAGTCAGAGCTCGTATTCCTATATTGATACATAATACAGGGCTTCACCACCCTATCTCTCTCTCCTTTGTAGCCTCCAACTTTTTCTAATCACTTTGGCTAACAGCAGTGGTTTTTTGCCCTCTATGTGACTCAGATGGGTTGGGAATGTCACTTTGAAAAGAAGATGGAAAGTACCTTCCTGCTACCTAGATGGAATGATGCCCATTGTTTGATAAAGCCAATTAGATCAGAAAAAAAGGAAGGAAAGCAGGGAAGGACCAATGAAGAAAGGAAGGAAGGAACTTCCACTATTTGTACATTAAAAAAAAAAAAAAAAATGGCCCTCCCTGGTGGTGCAGCAGGTTAAAGCACTGCACTAAGAAGCTTAAGCCACTTCCTCATGAGTTCAATCCCCGCCTGCCCCGGAGGAGATCCACATGGCAAGGCAGACCTCTCCTGACCCGCCCGCCACTCCCCTCAGTGGTGTACTTCGTAGATCTGCCTGTTCTGCTCCCTTCTCTGTCTCTGGTGAATCCTCTCACCCTCCACATCTCTGGCCTGTACCCCAGTTCTATATGAATAAATAAATAAATCTTAAAAAAAAAAAAAAAAGAGCACCAATTACCTAAGCCTTGCAGTCTGTTCTGGGCACCTGTTTAGCTGGACCTTCACAGGTGGTAGGGTGAATTAGCAATAGTAAAATTCGAGGTTGTATCAGACAGAAGGGAAGATTAACAGAGTCTCAGGGGATATGTATTATGCCCAATTCTTATGTTTGCTTAGTAGGGATCTTTTGCAACCCTGGCTCCAGCTGGATTTTTTTTCTCACCGAAAAGTTCAGCATTTAAATCTTAGCCTCATGAGAACATGGGTGCACCAGAGAAAAAAGAAGAGACCTGAGAAAGAAAAAGAGTGATACAAGGTTAATCTCAGAATAGAAAGCAACAGGCATTTTTTCAGAAACCATTAACAGAAAGCCACTACCTATATCTAAATGAGAATGACTCTACTTCAAACAGAACTTTGAGCTATTATAACCTCAGAAACTACAATTCTCTCTACTTGGTAACTACACAGTTTGTATCTTCTTGTCACAGAATAATCTGAGTAACATATGGGTCTTAAGGAACTGGATATCATAGGAACCTGAATTTTGAATGAGGACAATTTTAATCTGAGTGAAAATGAAGATTATTGCTAAAAAAAAAAAAAAAACTCTAAGAGTTTCATCAATCTTTGTAAGAAAAAGGTTCTTACGTTGTTACCAAGCTTCACTAAAAATGACTTAGATTTTTCAATGAATATTCTTGTATTAATAAAAGCAGAGTGTGGGAAAACAAACTTATAACTCCGTGTCTGGACGAGGGGAGAGTCATTGGCAATTGTAATCATTGGTGTTATAATCATTCATTGAGTGTTTTGATGGGCCAATCACATTCTACATTTGAATATAATGACTGACGGACACAACCATACAGCAAGTTGACATGATGAACCCCATTTTACAGAGCAGTAAACTGAGGCTAAGACAGACTATGGATAATCTAGTGTAAATACCAAAGATAGAAAATGCCCCCATAACTACATACCCATTTTTTATTTTAATCACTTTTCCCATGTATTGTTAAAATTTTAACAAAAATTTGAAGTACGCCATGTTGTATCCTGATTTTTTACTATTTCCTTCTATCAATAAATATTTTGTGAGAAAATCCTTTATAAATTGTATTCTTTATTGAGGTAACATTGACTTATAATATTATTTAAGTGTCAGGTGTGCTTCATTTAAAATCACTATCTGTATATACTACATAAAGTTCACTAAATGCCCAATTTCGTCCTTCACCATACAGTTGGCCCCTTCTCTCCAATTTTTGCACCCCACTTCCCCCTTCTCTTCTGCTAACCACTCATTGGTCTTATAATCCAAGTTTGTTTCTGTTTTCTTAGTTCATCCACTTGTTTGTTTTCTCAGTGTACTACATATGAGTGAAATCATATGGTGTTTGTCTTCCTCCATCTGAATTACTTCACTAAGCATAATACCCTCTAGGACTTTCCATGTTGTTGCAAAGAGCAGGATTTCTTCGTTTTATTATAGCTGGATGGTATTTCATTGTGTGAACATCGCACATCTTTATTGGTCAGTTTATGTGCAAGTAGGATGTTTCTAACTCTTGTAAATAGTGCTTCAGTAAACATGAGGGTGCATATACATCTTCAAATTAGTTTTTTTGTTTTTTTTTTGTATTTGGGGATGGTAAATACCCAAAAGTGGGATACCTGGATCCCATGAAATTTCTATTTTTAATATTTGAGGAATTTCCAATTTACATTTGTATTAACACTGCACAAGGGTTTGCTTCTCTCTGCATCTTTACCAACACTTACTGCTTATTTTCTTTTAGATAATAGCCATTCTCACAGGAGTGAGGTGTTATCTCTTAAATACCTGAATATAAAAATCTGAAATCATAAAGTGAATAGTGAAAAACATAGGCATTAAATTCCTTGACATAGACCTTAGCGATGTGTTCAGGGACTTTACTCCCACAGCAAGGGAAAGAATAGCAAAAATAAACAAATGGGACTATTTCAAGCTAAAAAGCTTCTCACAGAAAAAAAAAATACAAAAACTTGCATTAAAATGGGAAGACACCCAACTAGATGGGAGGGGGCATCTGACAAGGGGTTAATATCCAAAACATATAGAATTCATAAAAGTCAACAACAAAATAATATAAACCCCCTAAAATGGGCAGAAGATTTAAATAGACACTTTTTCAAAGAAGACACACAGATGGTCAATAGGCACATGGAGTGATGTTCATCATCTCTTATTATGAGAGAGAAAATCATTTTTAATGAATGAACTGTTTTCCAGCCTTCAGTAGCACCATCAATTATTTAACCAGCCCTTTATTGTGGGACTTGTAGGTAGTTTCTAATATTTTTTCAATTACCATAATGACTGAGATAAATATTCTTGAACATATAGCTTGCACATAATTTGATTATTGCCTTATGATAAAATCCTAAAATTAAAGTTCCTGGCTCAAAGTAGGAACACTTTAAGGTTGTTGATACACTAATTGCCAAGTCAGCCCTCTGGAAGTTTTGCCCCAAATCCATCCTCACTGGGAGCAGCAGAAGAAAACATCTTTTCCCTATCTCCTTAGTAGCAAATTGCATGTGTTTTTTTTTTTAACTTTCTATCAATTTGAAGAGCAAAATTGTTGTAGGTTTATATCTTGCATTCTTTGATAGATAGTGAAGCTAAACACCTTTCTATGCTTATTAAGCACAAGCTCTGTTCTGTTGTGTCCTGTCTGCTATCCAGGAATTATTGCTGTGTTCAAGATGCCGCTATTCAGAAACTTATCAGTGCCTAAAGGATCTCTTCTCCTGATGAGGCGGAGTCCTGCTCCTTGACTGAGCAAATGGCATCACCCCTAGAATGGCAAGGGGGCTGAAAGGGACATCTGCCCTCTAACCAAAATGGCTCTGTAGGAAACACCAGGTCCCTGGATTTAGAAATGCACAGGGAACAGGACTTCAGGAATAAGTAACTCGGCAATGTATAATTTATCAGGAACTCGACCTTCCTCCTGCTGCACCCAGTGACTGAATGAGGCCAAGTTGCCGTAGAGACACAGCTGTGACTCCTCCCCGCCAGGAGTGGGGCTGAAAGGCCAGCCGGTGAGCAAGCCATACGGGCAGATGGCAGAGCTACCCTCTGAGTGACCTTGAGACACAGCATGAAGAAAGAAGTCTTCACACCTCTGGAGAGGAAGCAATATTCCAGGAAAGGATACAGCAGCACTGAGAGGAACCAACACAAACCACACCACCACAGGTGCTAAAATTCATCTCGGTGGTTAGAAAACACCCTGCGCTGTGCAGATCCACTGCCCAGCCGGTCCCTCTCCTCTGATAGCCATCCATTCTGGCTTGTGATCATTATACTTGGAGGCTCATATGTCTCCCCACGTAGTCTGTCAGTGGCCAGCTTTGGGGCATCCCATCCCACTATAGGCTAAAACTTTTGCAGTTGCTATGGATGAATGGATGATTGAGTGATTGAGAGAACAAAACAATTCTTTTAGAGCACTATCATGCTGTTTTAAAATGACAAATTTATGCAGCTGCTTCCCCCATACGCCTGCAAACGCTGAAGACATTTGTGTCTCTCCCTACTTGCCTGGTAGGATAAATGCTTCTTGAAGGGATGAATGAACCAAGCCATATTTCGACCACAGTGACACCTACTTTTTAGAAGTTCTTCCCTTAGGAGACATGTAAAATGTAGCAGGATTCGCCCCCATTCCCCCATGGCTTGTATTCTTGGGAGCTTTCTCCACCGCGCTGTTCTGTACAGGCCGTGGGCAGCCAGAGTAACGCTGTGTGACAGCTGCCCCCACAGGACCTTCAGAATAATGACATGTCTGTCTTCCCAGCCTGAAGCTGTGGAAAACCACGCATCTCAAGAAGATCAACCAGCATCTACACCTGCACACACGTTTGTTTACATATGCAGATAACAAAAAGCTTCCTCAGGACAAAAGTCCCTTTCAATTCACAGAACGCACAGTGCCAGCCCCTGATGGCTGCTGAAAGGGTGCTTGCAACAGGCTCTGCCTCCAGCCAAAACCTAGGCTGAATCAGACACTGATTCTGTTGGAAGAAATAGGCTGTTGCTGCACTTCATTATGAATTTTCTCATGGGAAAGCGCCCCAGAGCTCAAGCACTCTGGGGAGAGGCTCTGTGCCCCCCCTCATAGCAGGGTGAATTTCAGACCTGGGCAGGTGGCTGTCACAGGCATGGCTCCTGTGTGGCACTGAGCTGGAGTCAGACTGATGGGGCGACGGGCCTCTTTATGCACCCCACTATCCAGAGGAGCTCGGGCCTTCCTTCCTGAATAGTTGAACTTCCCAACCGAAATGTTGCAACATTAGAGCTTTCTAAATATTTCTGGGTTCGGTGGGGTCACTCACACCCCTCTAAGAAGAATGTAAAGTTATCATCAGCCGTTTCTAGGTCGACCCTGAACCAAACTGTAAAGACATGAAAATCATGTTCCTGCCTTCTTCTCCTTTGTCCCCAATCAGCCCTTTTTCTGCTGCATTCGGTATCTGATCTGTTTTGAGCAATTATTGAGCATCTGCTGTGAATGTAGTCCTGTAACTCTAAAGAGGGGGATGGCAGAGGGTGGGGTGCTAGGGGACCTCTCTGATGCCTGACTCTTGGTGACACCCCAAGCTTCCTGCTGTGGTGATAGCCCAGTCAACTGTTACTCATGCTCCCCACCCATCGGATGTCAGTATCACCACTGCTGCTGTCAGTCTCAGGACACCTGAGGCCTCTGAGACCCAGGGTTTCCAGCAGATTAGTACTAGACCCTGCTTGAGAATGCTCACATGACTACGAAGCGGCTCTGTAAGTATTCCTCTTCTCGAGCTTTGAAGCTTCACTTACTCCCAGACTCCAGCTATGTCCCCTCACGTATATGTTTCCTGTAGAAAGAGTTTCTAAGGAGCTTTGCAAAGTGGGGGGAGGGACCACCTTACTGCTCTGCAAAGTGCCTGCCGGCCAGCCACAACCAGGCAGCACTGCGACACTTGTCTCCAGGTACGGGGCCCTTCCCCGGCTGTTCACCAGCCCAAAGAGGGTCTTCACCACATGAGAATCACAGTCTGGGGCTGGCCACCAGGTGCCCACCATTCAGCTGGCTCCAGGCTCTGGGTCCTTGCACCCTCTGTGCACCCTCCTGCTGTGCATCGTCACTCTCTGCAGACAGAGCAGGCCAAGGCGTCTCAGCCTCCTGATGTACATTCGTGTTCTGAGAAGTTGCAAGTGGCTGTTGCACCACAGGGGCTTGGTACCTGCCTCTGCTTTCAACTCAGGGAGTTAGCTGGAAGCCCACAGAAGCTCTCCCACATGCTGTGAGTATGCAGGGATGGGAAGGAGGGGAGGCGATGGGTTGCCTCCAGTGCTATGCTCCTTGGCACTGGGGATTCTGTCAGAGTATAGTACAGCCTTCCTCTCTTGCTGGTCTTAGTTCCCTGCCTCAGGTCCCCTCTAAAGAGGACAAACTCTACCTCCTCCCGGGCCATGGCCTGGAAAACAAACTTAGCAGAGTCTAGGCACATCTCTCTTTCTCTTCCCACCTCTAAGCAGTTGGGATGGGATCTCAGGTCATGTCACTTGTGCTCAGCTCTCAAACACACCAAATGAGAAGATGGCTGGTGTGTATGTCAACCCCAGAGCTTTGATCCACCCTCCCACAGGGAACACAGTCCCAAAGTTGCTTATTAAAGTGCCACCCCCTTTCCTGGCCTCAGGGGTACACACACTGGGAACCCGGCGTATATGTCATCCTGACCCTAGTTCAATACCTGCAGTCAGTTCTGATCCTGACAGCCAGACATGGCCTGTGGGGATTTTGTATTCCCAAGGGCTCTCGACTATTGAAAGAATATGAAGTACCAAAGGAATTTAGCTCCAGTGGTGAAGGTAGAGGCAGCACAGCAAATAGTCAAGCTTTCCCTTGGATCGCCCCACAGGTCACCTGCCCATCTCAAAACTCCTGTGCTGCCTGGACCTGACCAGTGTAGTTCTCTAAGGATGTGTGTGATATTGATTGTCTTGCTGTTCCTCCTGGCTGAAGATGTAGCCTTGGGAAGAAGGCTGGACCCAGAGCTGACAATCATATTTATCCATTGATCTGCCATCTTCCTCCCACCTCCCTCCACCACTTTGGAAGCATTAGCAAAACATATTCCAATTCCCACTTTAAAATGAAATCATTAACCTCTAAATAATTAACATTGCATCAATAGGAGGGCACTCAACGTGCACACACACCTATACGGGTCGATCTGTGGGGTGAAAGGGAGGAGTAGAGCTTTCCCTGCAGAGCGTCCTTAGAGCTTCAGAGACTGGAATTTGAGAATTAATGGGGTTTTCAAGTTTGGAAGTGAAAGAGGGAGACTCCCACTATCAGGGAGGAGGGGAAATACTTAGTGCTCTTCCTAGGTAGCAAACTCACACACGTCTCTACCTCTTTTCCCGATACTAGATTATTATTTTTTAATATGCATTGATAGGGCCACTGAATGCTATATTTGAAACTGAGCCCCATCGATAGCAAGAACTTATATCTGATACGACAGGATGCTGCATAGCCTCCCAGACTCAGGTCCCAAGACCACTGAGTGTTGAGATTCAGCTGCTCGTATGTGAATAGCACATCTGCAGACTCCTCTGTCCACGGGTTAGGCAGCCTCCTTCCATGCTTTTCCACAGGTCGGCCTGTGGCACGGGTCTGACTGAATGCAAAGCATCCAGAGATTGTATGGAACACTCATTGCAGACAAGTGCCACAGAGATAGGCTCCTTTGATGAATGGAATGGGGAATCTTGCAGATACTATCCCCTTTCTAGAAATCCACAATACTTGTTAGTAAGCCCTCTTTAATAACACTGTTTTTGTTTTCTAAACTTACTAAGTTTCCCTGAAATATTTTTTTATTAATATCCTATAGATTTGTGTTCCACAAAAACATTTGGAAAGTCTTTCCCAGAATGACATAGAATGGTGTCTGAAGCAATAGTTCTGTAAATGCAGCAGTAAACTTTGCATGACTGTCAAGGATGTTTAAATTAAAGCCTAGGGCATGATTCCTAAAGCCCATTTCAAGGAAGATAATCATGCAAGGAAATAAACTAATGTGGTTTAAGTAATTGGTGTCTGGTGTTCTTATGAGCTCCATAGGTCTCACAGGCCTGCAGGGGTAGATGGGATGCTGGACCCTGGACAGTCAGACCTAAATGCTGCTTCCCTGCCAGCCCCAGTGAGTCTAAAATAGCTGGCAACTCAAGGTCAGGGTCTCAGAGGGGAGGCGGGAGAAACATTTTCTTTCTTTAATAATAGAAGATAGGGTCCGTATGCATTGGAACCAGAAAAGCAAGTGGCAGAGATGCTACCTGCATAGGAAAACTGACGAAGTGATCACTATTCTCACCTGAATAGAAGTTGCCATCCTCCTCAATGACGGGGGGCAGAAAGAGTCAGGCCTCAGGTATACCCAGTTTGTGAGAGGGGAAAGCAGAGTCAGATTCCGTGCTCCTTGTGATGACCCAGCTCAGTGATCATTCTCTGAGTGTGTGAGTGTGCTAAGCTGCAGGCATGTGTCAGGCCCCCAAGTGGGTGTGAAGCATGGATATCTGCCAATGAAAGCCTGGTGCTCAAGGTCGGGGGGAGGGCTGGGACATAGTTGGCATCATCACTGTGTAGATTTAAAGATCTAAGGGCTGTATGAAAGCCCTACCCATTGCCTGAAGATTTTGATTGAGTTACGGGCTCGCCATTCTAACGCAGTCAGAATGTTACCGTTATGTTATTAAGTAAATGGAAGTCTGAGCCCTTGGGCTCAGAGAGAAAAGAGAAATAAAAGACGATTTCTTGCTATTTCTGCTGGAAATTTCATTTTCCAGTTCCCCAACATAAAAATAGTGATGACTACGATGTGATGGCGGGTACTGTTTTGCTGGATACTCCGTACTGTGTACCCTTGAACTTCCTTCAGCTATTCAGCTTCCTCGCTGGCTCACTCACTGTACTGACGTTTGAACATTGAAGAACTATTTCACCTCTATCTTCACTTCCTCTCTGGAAGCTTCCATGCACTGGTGATGCCAACCTATGTCCAAGCCTCAGCCCTGCCCCTGGGCACCAAGCTCTCACAGGCAGCTGTCCACGCTCTACATCCTCTTGGGTGTCTGACTCACATCCGCAACTTAGCACACTCGCAGGCAGACTCTTGATTGTAGAGCCATTTGGCGCAACTGAAAACCTTCTTCCATAGCTGTCAGAATACGACAACTCCATTGTAGTCATTGTCCAGGACAAATTCTTGAGGTCAAGTTTTGAGCCTCACTATGTACAGTAACCCTCCTACTTACATCAGCAAGTTCTATAGACTCAGCCTACAGAATGTATGCAGATGTAAATTATCCCTAATCAACACCGAGCAAGTTATCATCTCTCACCTGGATAGACTTCCAGATTCTCTGCTTAGCCTTACAATCTATTTTCCACCAAGAAACCAGAGTGAGGCTTCTATGGCATGTTCCATGTCTTTCTCTGATCACGGTCCCAGCTGGCTTTCTATCTCACTCAGAATAACCCTCGTGTCCTGCCCGCCCTTATACAGGGTCCTGGAACCTGACCCTTACTTGTCACTTTACCTTCTTGTCATTGAGTTAACTTGATCCTCATGGATTTTGAAAAACATAAAACCCTGGCCAGCCAGTGCCCTGTTACTTGGTACTGGTGACCACCCTCATAACACCAGGGTCCTCACCCTCTCTAGCCCAGAATGTGGCTCACAGCTCTTGTGTGACCCACAGTAAACTCTCCTTGCTGAAACAGTTGATTGGATTTCTCTCTAAATTCCTTCCATCATGTCAATATGGCCAGATAAGAAGGAGCGCACGAGCGCGCACACACACACACACATACACACACACACACCCGGGCGCTTGTGCGCACACACCTGTCTGCCTTCTCTTCTCTCCCTCATCCCCACCCTCTAGCCACATGAAGCATTTTCATAGACTTGCCAGGGACTTACCGCAACAACTTTGCACTTGCTCCTTCCCATGCCTGGATGTCTATAATTTCCATCTAGCTTCTGTTCAAGAGTGCCTCACTGACCATCTTTCAGGGAAGAATCACTCCTCTGCTCTTCTCTACACCCTTCCTCTGCTTTTTTCATCTCCTTGGACTATCACCCCCAACACATCACACAAGTGTTGTGTTGTTCTTTGCCCCACATTGGCCTGAAACAGCAACCTATGAGGACAGATCTTATTCCCTGCTTACTGCTCTCCTTGCTGCAAAGAGTATATTGATATATTTACATCATTTGTTAACAAATAAGTGCAGGTATCATGGTCCAGAAAGAAACGGAAAGATTCCTTCAACACTGATGACCAGCCCAAGTCTGGCAGGTGTCAAGGGCAGGGTCTACCAGGCTCCAGACAGAACTGCTTCCACCACAGCCTTCCCTCCGTGCCAGTCCCCCCTCATATTCACAATCAGGTACCCCCCTCACAACTTCTCCTCTCTCACCGTGGGGAGATCAGCAGCTCTCAGGAGCAACACAGGCTGATGTAGGAGTGGGAGCAACACGCACAGACCTGGGGTGTCCGGGGCTTTATTTGTGCCGAACACCCTGCCTCTTCGTCTCTCGTAATCAGCTGCTGAAATGCCTGGCTGACTCAGCTCCCAGAGCACCCGCCTCAGCGGGAAAGAGAAGCATTCCAAGGCGTCTGGTGGGGCCTGTGGTCGTTTGCCTCCTCCTTTGAGCTTGCTCATCAGGCATACAGCTCCGGCTTCTGTATTAATTATGAGATACTCAAAAGAGCAGGAGATCTATCTCTGGAATTGCCACTCAGCTGGACTCCTCAGGACCTCTTCCACCCCAGCCATGTGCTCCCTGCTCGACCCGTTCTGCACCCTCTCATTAAGCCAGGGGAGCCGTCCCTCCCATGAGCCCAGTGTTCAGACGAGCCACGTCTCTGAGGCTGCAGGTGGCAGCCAGTGGCGCGCCCTGTTTGGGGTCTGCACCCCAGCCATCCCAACTGCACGTCACAGCACCGCCACACGCTGCACCAGGATGGGGCTGGGGGGGATGAAGGTAGTAACGAGGTGCTTCAGGATGCACCCCAAGGACAGTTCTGGCTTAATAGGGGTCTCTGCACTCTCTCCCTGGAGAACAGAGACTTCCCCTGAGAGCTGCAGGCACCACACGCTTGGTGCCTCAGGAGCAGGTGGCGGCAGCTCTGAGGACTCAAGCTGTTTCCCTTCTACTCTGCCTGAGGCTATGGGAGAAATTTCATCAGAAGAACATCAGTCTATTGATATAGGTCCCGACAGCTCTTGCATCTCACCCTAACTGCTGCCTCAGGGCGCTGCCTTCCTTCCCTCACTGTTGACCTGAGCCATGGGCTGAGCTTTAAGGTTTCAGGGTCTTTACTCAGGCTGAGCTGAGAGGAGCAGAGGGTGAGGAGGGAGGGCCGGAGACTGAAAAAAGTCAGTGAAGACCAGGAGGAAGGCAGCCAGGCCTCCAGTGGGTGACCTTAACTGCCACGGCTTGAAATGTCACTTCTCCCCCTGCCTCTGGCCACACCACGGCCCAAGGAGGCTCCAGAGTCTCAATCTGTTCCATTTGACGAATTAACCCAAGAGCCCACAGACAGGCTGACAAGCTGGGCCCTGTCCCCTGCACCATTAGTTCCTCTTCTGCTGCCCCCCTTCTCCACCAGCCACTTGTAAACCCACAAGTCCCACACGTGTGGCCACATATTAAAAGTTGTTAAGTGCACGGGAAGGAAAGAGGGGTTGTGAGCATAAGCACAAAGTCAGGAAGGCTGGTTAAGGACAGATCAATAGGCCTCTTTACTGTGGGACTTCTCCCAGCCATCAATGTGCTTGCTTAGAAGGTAAATTCCCCACAGGAGATTCAAGGAGTACGTTCTCTAAGTTATTTTATAAGGGAACACATTTTTCAAGGCACTCAGCTCTAGGCTGTGGTTTCAGACACCTATTTTGTGAGTCTTTGTAGACCTGCCTAAGGACCTGAGGCATGAGGACTTGGGAAAGTGAGCCGTACTGCCCTCTGGTGGGACAGAGGGCAGAGAAGCAAACTCACCACTTTCTGTCCCAGCAGTTGCTTTGTGTCTAGAAGGAAAGACAGGGAGAGAAGAAGGGTACTGTAGGCCCTCGTGAAAATGTGATGAGGTGGCTTGCAGAGAAGACAGGGGGTTTAAGGGAAGTGGGGGCTGGGGGGGGACTGAGCCAGGGGCTCAGGGGGTTACCTGTCTCCTAAAACGTGACTGGCGACTCCTCACTCTCCCTCCAGCCTTTCCAAGGGAGGGCAGGTGGGGCAAGTCAGAGAAAATAATAGATAGAGGGTTTGGGGCCCAGAACTTAGCTACTGCTGTTCATTGTATTGTTCACTCAGTGAGTATATGGAACGGAAGCATTTCTATGCTCTACTTCATCTCAGCTAGTATTTATTGAGTGCCTAACATAGAGCCTGCTGAGTCAGGGCTGTGAGGAATAAAGGTGTGACACCCAATTGCTGTTTTCAAAGCCTGGCAGTGTTCATGGTGTGACAATACCTCACGGGTGAATGATTAGAGAACAAGAGGAAACTTAATTCAGAACAAAGAGGGAGAAGCATGCCATTCAGAGGTAGCTTGGTCAGGAGGGTGGGAGCTGTGAGCAGGGAGACAGGATGAAGAGCACCTTGGCTGATTCACCTTTATAAAGACATTTGGAGAGGGAGGGCATCCCACAAAAAGACAGAGGCATCCTTGCAACATCACCTGCAAGACATCTGGGAAGCTGAGACACCCATGGGCCTGTTAGGCTGACACTGAACTTGTAAAGAGTCTGGAGGACCAGGGATGGCCAGGGCCGTAAGCCCTCCTGGGTACTTTAGAAAGACAGAGGGAGGAAATGGTAAGGACTACGTCCCCTACTGGAAGTATATGGTAATGCTCAGAGGTCACCTGCTGAACTTCATCACCTGCCTGCCTACCAAATGGAGGCGCTGTGGGCTAAGTGCATTCCCCACTCCACCACGAAATTCTTATGTGGAGGCCTTCCCTGGTGGCGTAGCGGGTTAAAGCACCGCACTAAGAGGCTAAAGCCACTTCCGCATGAGTTCGGGTCCCGCATGAGTTCGGTCCCACCTGCCCCGGAGGTGACCACATGGTGTGGAGACCTCTCCTGACCTGCCTGCCCGCTGCTCGCCTAGCAGTGTACTTTGTCGATCTGCCTGTTCTGTTCCCTACTCTCGCTCTGGTGAAGCCTCTCGCTTCACTGGCCTGTACCCCAGTTCTGTATGCACAAATAAATAAATCTTAAAAAAAAAAATTCTTATGTGGAACTCCTAATCCTCAGTACCTCAGAATATGACCGTATATGAAGACAGATTTTTTTTAACTTTATGTTAAAATGAGATCATTAATGCCTAGATCAAACACACCTAACTGCCAAAATGGTAAAAAGTGCAAATCTAGTGTTTAAGGCGCCCAGTCTGGTTCTTCCTCATGGCAGCTCAAACAAACTACATCAAGGGATAATGTCATCTTCCCAGTTTTCCCTGGAAGAACACAACTAGTCTCCCTATTTCCTGGGTTCTTGTCGCTTCTCTCCATTACTTAGGCTCCCCTCTTCTTCACAGTCTCATTGTCTACATCAAATTACAAACTATGTGGGAGCAAGCTTCAAACGAGCTTTCTATAATCATTTGTCTCACAGTAATGAGGCCAGTGCCAGCACTGGAGATTCAAAAATGGGGCCTGCAGATCCCCCCATTTCCAGGAGCACACAGTGAGATGTGAGCAACATTCACACACATGAGATGAGAGCACAGTGAACTGGGGGGGCTCACAGAAGGCTCCACAGAGGGGGCATTTCAGCTGGACTTTAAGGGGTCGATAGACTTTTCAGGGCAGGGCAGGGCACCCTGGGTGTTCTCACAAAGAAAACAGGATGAACACAGCCCAGGGACATAGAGTGCGATTGTTCATGGGAGTGGGAAGTGAGGTGTCCACCCCGGCCGAGGAGAGGGAGAGGCTGGGAAGCCTGATAAAGGAAGGACATTGAACTTATTAGAGTTAGGGGAGAGTCAAGGGAGGCTGCCCAGAAGCTCTCTGGCTGCAGTGTGGAGAAAACCCGTGGACTGAGGTGACAGAATTGGATTCTTTGTGAAGATGTGGTGTGGAGTTTGGAATGGGGTGGGTGATGAAGCAGGAAGAAGTGGTGTAGACAGCAAAAAGGTTAGGTGGTGGGGGTGGAAGTCTACTTGGGTCATATACTTAAACTGCCCAGGCCTCACTTTACATACATGGGGGGAAGTTCTTACCCCCATATGACCATCGTAAGGATAAAGCGAAAACTAATCCATGGCAAGCCCTCAGCAAATTGGCAAGTGTGCTCAGTGACCTCAGCTCCTGTGTCCACTGGGCCCGGAAGGATCGGGTGAGACCTGGCCACACAAAGTGGAGGCTCATCTAAAATGCAGGAACTCATGGATAGCCTGCTCGCCTTGAGGCCACATTTCTCGAAGGATGGCTTCTTGCCAAATGAATCATCCCTGACTAAGGACGGAATGGGTGTTGAAGCCAGAAAGAGAGTGAAGTGGCAGCATCCATGAGAGGTGTGAGCAGCCTCAGCAGGGAGTCCAGCAGGCTAGCAGCAGCATGGCAGGACTGCCCTGGGAAGCCCAGAGAGGGGCAGAGGGCAGAGGCTGGGGGTGTCTCTGCAAGGAAGGAAAGGACAAAGAAGTCAAAACAGTTGTCAGAAAAATGGAAGGTCACTTTCAGAAGACCAGAGAATTTTTTTTTTAAGATTTATTTATGCATTACAGAACTGGGGTACAGGCCAGAGGTGCAGGGGCAGTGAGAGGATTCACCAGAGACAGTGGGGAGCAGAACAGGCAGATCAATGAAGTACACTGCTGAGGGGAGCAGCAGGTGGGTCAGGAGAGGTCTGCTGCGTCATGTGGGTCACCTCCAGGGCAGGCGGGGTTTGAACTCATGCTGAAGTGGCTTAAACTTCCTAGTGCTGTGCCTCAACCCGCTGCGCTACCAGGAAGGAACCAGAGAAGAGAATTTTAATAAGGAGTAGGAGCTTCAGTTCCTTCAGATGATGAGAACCCAACCAGAAAGGTGTGGGTGGGGCTGCAAGCAGAAGTCTGTTGATGCCTGAGGAGGCCATTTGGGCAGGGTGGAAAGACAGAGGGAATCACTTGGGCTTGGGAGTATATGGGAAGTAGGCTGTATTTTGAGGGAAGGTGGGTCAGGTTGGAATCATTAGGTGGGCTAAAGAGAGAATTACTTCAGCGGAGACTGAGCCTGTATGTGAGTGGAAAGAAGAGCCAGTGGCTTGGGAGGAAGTGAGACAAGAAGGAAAAAAGTGTGACTGTCAACAGCAGGAAAGTTCTTGCTCTGACACCAGAAAGGAGACAGGAGCCGTGGGGAGGATGAAAGGAAGGGTAGCAGCTGCAGCCTCCGTCTTCCAGCTCAGTCAGACAGGCTGGGTCATTTCCCAGGAGGGTCCAGGGTAAGGTCAAGTGACTGAGACCTAAGGAGAATGAAAAGGTCTACCAGGGCTGCTTCAAGGGTGAAGTGGACACAGGAATTGTTTCTCCCAATGGCAAATCCTGAGAGAAACAGTTTGGAGGCAAACAGTATATTAGGGGCTGAC